GGCATGGAGCTGAAGGACATGAGCCCAGCACAGCTGGATGAGCTCTTAACCAACTACTCGGAGATCGTCTTTGCCCGGACGTCCCCCCAGCAGAAGCTGATCATCGTGGAGGGCTGTCAGAGGCAGGTGGGTGAACACAGCACCCAGGGACCTTCCAGGTCTGCCCCCGTCCCGGGGGAGTGTTGTGCTGGGCCCTGGCCCCCATCAGGGCTCTAGCACCGTCCTCACCACCCCACATCGCCACTGGTCAGGGCTGACCCTCTACCCCAGGGGACCCTCCAGCATGCTCCCCAGGGGCTTTCTGACAGTGAAGTGTGATACTTTGTTGTGGATTAATTGCCCATATAAGTGTGGGTTTATTTCCAGGCTCTCTGTTCTGTTCCATTGATCTATGTGTCTGTTTTTGTGCCAGTACCATACTGTTTTGATTATTGTAGTTTTGTAGAATAGTTTGAAATCAGGGAGTGTGATCCTGTAGCTTTGTTATTCTTCCTTAAGATTATTTTGCCTACTCGGAGGCTTTTATGATTCCATACAAGTTTTATAATTACTTCTTCTAGTTCTGTGAAAAATGGCATTGATATTTTGATAGGGACTGCATTGACTGTACACTGCCTTGGGCAGTGTGGTCATTTTAACAACACTACTTCTTGCAATCCACAGACATGGTTTATCTTTCCATCTGGTTGTGTTGCCTTCAGTTTCTTTCATCAGTGTCTTACAGTTTTCTGAGTACTTTAGTTAGATTTAGATTACTTAGATTTAGTTAGTTAGATTTATGCCTAGATATTTAACTCTTTTTGATGCAGTTGTTAATGAGATTGTTTCCTTGATTTCTCTGTCTGATAGCTCATTGTTAGTACATAGATATACCACATATTTCTGTATGTTAATTTTGTATTCTGCAACTTTACTGAATCATTCATTCTGCTGGTTTTCTGGTGGCATCTTCAGGATTCTCCACGTGTCATCTGCAGTGACAGTCTCACTTCTTCCCCTCCAGTTTGGATCCTAGTTGGGTTAATTATCCAGCTCAGCTAGTCTGGAGTTCATTGGTCTTACTTCTGGGATCTCCCATCTTAATCTTTCCCCCGAA